AGCACTTGTGGGTGGTGCGGTCTTTATTTTTGTACAGCTGGAGGCTGAGGCTTTCCATTACCAGTGGTACACATCTGTGTGCCAAATAATTTGGAGTGTTGTGTCTATGTGCAAAAAGTAAGACTCTTACCTTTGAAAACATCTGATGTACACAGTCTAAAAGGTTTCTCTGTGGAACGCTGTGGGGCTTTAAAGGAATCTGCATTGGAGAAGAAAAGCAATTAATTAATACTATTCTCTATATAGAGAGCAATGAGCCTACAAGTCCTTCAAGCATTAAAGCTCAACTACATGGTCTCACCATGCCCAAGATATACCGAATATGCTTCTAATGGGCTTCTTCAATTTAGCAAGGCAAAGAGAAATAAATGATGGCTACTATGGATTATTGAGATTCCTAAAATGAAACTACCTTAAAAAAAAAAAGCTTTGGACAAGATGGGGAACTGTAATATCCCTTTCTGTCCCGGTGGGATCTGCTGCAAACTGCACTTCCCATTTCACCTTGCTTTGGAAAATCCACTAAAGAGCTAGTGACAGACATCAGTCCACAAAGAGATCTCCAAATAATTACAGGGAAAATACCCTCTTGTGAATTAAACTGCTCAAAGCAGAGCCCTATTTAAAAAAAAAAAATCAAGGGTACACGGATTATGTCCAATAAAAACTCAAACAGCTCAACATCTCAGGCAGGTAGGATATAGTCATCTAGATTCAGCCTGCATGCCATGGCTAGTGAGGGGCTTATTACAGTTCACATTAGAGCTGGTTGATCACTCAAAAGGTGGGACCCCCAAGATCTCCTGCAAGCAGAAATATCGAAGATGTTCACAGATGGTGACTAGGGAGGTGGTGCATTTTGAGGATAACTACTTCTTTCTCAACTTTCAACTTGGCCACAGTGTGCGGACTGTACCAAGCTGACTGTACTCCACCAGACTAAGATATGCTGTTTACCCTTTGATGTTTGCAAAATTTTAATCTGCTTTTAACATTATTAAAAACATTTTATCTTGTCTCAAGAGTCCCAAATACACATAAAACCTATGTAGCCTACAATTTGCTGACATGCAACCTACATATGCGTCTACATTTGTCCCTGATTTGCTCGATAAATGTCCCTCAAAGTTTCTTACCAATTTGGTCAGTAAGGCACAGTCCTTTATACCAGCTTGTCAATTCAGATATTTGACTACCTTTGGCCAGATTTTCTCCACTGAGCCCACTGGTCGGAATGTAAGACACATCACTGTCCTAAACAGGCAGAAAATGATTACTGATCCTAATGCATATATAATTTAGATTTTAAGATTTTTTTTTTATATCAGTTAGTGTGAAACACAAAATATAATGGACTATATATTGAAACCCTTTGCAACAGTGGATATTTTAGTTTTTTATATTAAGCCCTATTCTAAAAGAAACATTATAGGCACTGAAGTAATTGCAACGTTAGTAAAAGACTATTGATCAGTTTACAGCACTAAACAAACATTTCTTATGATGAAGCCTATATGGGTGACATTCGGTGCCAACTACAGCAAAGTTACAAATCTTTTCGCCTTTAGGATCTCAGACATGAGGAAATGGTTAATTTGCTCAGATAAATTATTTTATCCAACATACACCAAGTAGATGAAGACATTTGGACTTTTGGCTGTTTTTGTCAGAGCCTTTGTCAGAGTCATTCTTTTTTTCTACTATCTAGTAATCTGTCTGTTCTCATTTGGCTAAAACAATCCACAGACATGAAATTAGAGTTTCATTGTTGGATGGTATATTGGGGGCAGACAATGCCCACCAGGCAACCATTCTGGGAGAAAACAAACAATCAAATTGGCACAATCATTATTGGTGTGCCAGAGATAAGCTGAGCCATCAGCATCTGCCTGCACTGCTCTCTTCTGAGATTAACACCAATGCTCTGCCCAAAGGACATGTGTGGTATTGGTATGCTAGCTAACAGATGACTGAGGGTGGTCAGATAATGTGTCCTCATGCATTATGTCCCCAGACAACCTAAATAGAGTGGAGGAAGAAAGGATTTTTACTTTGTATGTCGGTAATCTAGATGGACTCAAGAGAAACTCTAGGCGGATAAACAAAAAAGACCTCCATATGTAAAGCCTATTTTGCCTTCTGATAAATAATTTTGCAGTGATGGGGAATTAGTAAGAAATATTGGTTTTAAAATATTATTATGAACGATAGAGGATGTAAACATTGCATAGCTCTTGTACAGACCAAGCTGTTTAATTCATTACAGAAAACAGTTCTGTGTAGAACCTCACAAATACTGTGTCCATTCTTTGAACAGTAGTGGAGAAAAGTGTGTGGGGAAAGATCTCAATGCACAGCAGAAAGAATGTAGTGTTTAGGTATTGGTGTATTATTTTATTTATATATTAATGGGTATGTTTCTTATTGTTCTTTTTGAGTCTGTTAATTATACTACTGAAAGCATTTTTACAACTGTTTAATAGATGCAAAATTAATGTTTGTACTCTAAATTCCTTTTCACTTTAAATTCCTTTTCTTGGAATACATTGAGGGACACAGGAAATCTTTCACCTTAGGGTTATACCGCCACGTAAAGGAGGATTGGACAATACTGTAAGGCCAGCACAGCATAACCTCCCTACTACCAGTATGCCTCATTTTTGCAGCAAGCAGTACTGAGAGCAGGGCCGTCTTTAACGCAGGGCAAAAGCGGCAGTCGCCCAGGGCCCAATCATTGTTGTGGGGCCCAAAGCAGCTGCCCCTTCAGCCCACATAAGATAAACACATGCAGGGCTGGCAGCCTCACCTGTGTAGGCAATGGGGCTTGCACCAGCCCTGCCCCGTCTGTGTACACAGCATCGGTGCTCTACACACAGGAGGCTACATACAGCAGCATAGACGTGGCTCTGGGCTCCGCCCACTATCAACTCGACCCCGCCTCCCGCTCTACATACTCTGCTCTCCTGTGTTGACTGGGGCCCTGCTGGGAGCCCACACCGTGCCCTGAGATGTCACCCCCACTGTGTCCCCTCCTGCCTCCCCTCTCTGGACCTTCACACCAAGTAAGTGCCCAAATATGCCACAGTTTATGTATGCAACAGATACATATACTGTGTGCAACACATACATATGCAGAGCAGGTTCCTGACATTGCTTCTCTAGTTCAATCTATGCTGCTGAAGCAGGATTTAGAGTTTTTAAAGAAAATGGCATTATCAAGTTCTATGTATGGCTGCAGCAAAGCTTCCTGTACTCTCAATACTAGGGATGCACCTATAGATAATATTACAAACTAGATCTGTTCTATGGAACAACAAACCCCTAAGCTGCCATGCTAAAAAAAACTGTATATAACATCTAAAAAAACGTGAATTATAAACATGCCCTGCGCTATAGAGACCAACTACATATGCAATCTAATGATATTCTACATGTGAAGTAAATACAGAAATATATAAATACGCAGAATCACCCTATGGTGAATAAATACATATTAGGTATTTTTTCACTATATATTGTATTTATTCACCATAGGGTGATTCTGCGTACTTATATATTTATTTCACATGTAGATTATTATTAGATTGCATGTGTAGTTGGTCTATAAAATGCATTGCACGTGTATAATTCACTAGGGATGCTACTGCACCGATACCGATACCTGCACAGCCCGTCTGAGACACCGTACAGCTTCCCACCAGGATATTGAATATCCTGTCTCTCTCCTGGCTCTCTTTCCTGGCTGTCTCTCACTCTATCCCCTGGCTGTCTCTTCTCGCTCTCTCTCCTGGCTGTCTTTCCTCAATCTTTCTCCTGGCTGTCTCTCTTTGCTCCCTCTCCTGGCTGTCTCTTCTCACTGTATTCTGGCTGTCTCTCCCTGCTCGCTCCCCTGGCTGTCTCTCCCTGCTCTCTCCCCTGGCTGTCTCTCCTCGCTCTCCTCCCTGGATGTCTCTTCTCTCTCAATCCTTGCCGTCTCTTTTCTCTCTATCCCCTGACTGTCTCTCCTCACTCTCTCTCCTAGCTGTCTCTCCTCTCTCTCTATTCTGGCTGTCTCTCTCCTGGCTGTCTTGCCTTATTCTCTTCTCTCTCCCCTTGCTGTCTCTCCCCGCTCTCTCCCCTTGCTGTCTCTCCTACTTCTCTCCTGGCTGTCTCTCCTAGTTCTCTCCTCGTTCTCTCTTGTTTATTCTAAAAAAAGTTGGAGTGTGGTGTTAGACTGTTCGGGATTCGCTTGAAGAAAAGGCAGCAACCCTTGCAGCACCATTCTGTTTACTATGCGTTCGGCATCACATATTGTTGCCCCCACCTCTTCCGTATGCTGCTGTTAGGGCCGGGGGGGGGGGGGGGGAGGCGCCAAGAAATTGTTTGCCCAGGGTCCAATCAGTATTAAAGACGGCCCTGACTGAGAGTATGATTATAAACAGACGGCACAGACCCATTTACCTTATTGAACCCCAGGAATATGATTTTACACAGAGTACAAAAAACTGTTTTCTTTTTCGTCCATTCAAGGACACAGGAAGTCTTTCACATTCCATTGTAGAGGTCTAGAGTGAGGCTGGACAAACTGGACTGCCTCAAAAGGAAGCAACCATCAGGCCCTGGACTCCCTAGAGAAATAGTTGGAAAAGCAGGTACAAAAGGGAAAGTCTTTGGGGTCTTAGGGGTTCTACAGCACCCGAGCCTAGAAACAGTACTAGTACAAGCAACAGGCTGATCCTCTAGTTTCAGAGTTGTGCTCACTGCATTAGTACGAGCCAAAACAGTCTTCCTAATGATGGAGAACAGTGGACTCTAGTGTGCTCACTCAGAAGCCGCCAAGGCCAGATGTAAATCAGATACACAATCTGTAGGCACGCTCTGCAGTCAGAGTCCCCAAATAACTCAGGGATTTGGGACCATAAAGTCTTGCATGACTGTAGTAAAAACCTCATCTAAAACAGCAGAGGAACTGCCCACACAGAGCTAAAAGACTACTAAGATGATGGAATAGGTGCAGAGTGCAACAGAATGCCAGTCCGCAAGAGCCGACACAATCAGCAGGTGCACTGCAAGCAGCCCCAGAGCAGTTAGAATGTGAGCTGGAAGCCCACATTACAGGTACTCACAAAACACAGACAGCTAGTGCAGGTGAGGATTGGATAGCCTGAGATGACCACAGTTACTATAAGCAAGCAGCAGGAACAGAGCAAAGATCAAAGTTCCACTTAGATTTTTACAAGCAGGGCAGCAGTGGGGAGATGCTTCCTCACCACTGTATGGCAAGAAAAAGAACACAAGCATACACATGTGAAACTCAACCCAGCGGATTATGTCAGCACAGTCCCACATGCGCCTATATATCCATAGCAATAAATTATACGTATATATGGAAGGGAGGGTTAGGTTTTGCCTGTACCACTACTGACATGTCAAGACAATATTACTCAAACACCTACTAAACTCCCCCATACCTAGCTCTGAAATTGGAAAAAAAAAATGTTAAAAATAAATATTCCTGTTACCTTAAATCCAGCTTGCTTCAGAAAGTGCCCCAGCTTACTAGTAACTTCCCGAAATCGATCTTGTTGCCAATTAACCTGCAGGTAATGTAAGAAAGCTTATAACAAGGGGTAATACAGAGAGAGTTGCAGGGAACGATGAAAGCATGGCACAGCAAACTAAATGCTGTTTTTAGAAGTAAACAAACTCGGTATACAGGCAGATTCCTATATACATGAGCATTTAATTATACTAGATGTGGCATAACAAAACATAAGGAGCTTCTGATTTCTCAGTTTATTTCACATGGCTCCGAAGCAACTAGCAACTCTAAAGTACAACTTCAGCCAAACTGAATGAACAATGAAATACAATACATGTGAGGTGCTTTAAGTGAAAAATAATATATGTGAGCTAGCCACTCTTGTGATTCACACACACCAGCCCTACTTTTGTGGCTTCCTGTTTTACTTCCCACCACCAGCCAGAAAACTAGACTGTGAATGAAAATCAGCACACTGGTGAGATTTTCCCGGTGCTCTGCTATCTTGTAAGCGTGAATAGACATCTTTCCCGTTAGCACCTAAAACATTTGGATAACTGCACTATACAAATTACCCTCAACTGATTTACAGTACAGCCCAATAATACCTAAATCACAAAGTCTTCAGTTCTGTTAACACAGGTTTCAGTCACTTACATCACCAGAATTAACAAATATGCTTCTTTGCTTCTGAAATAAGGACCAAAGTCCGTTAAGTCACAAGACTGTGCAAAAAGATGACAATGTGGTAAATGGCTGTCAATATAGAGACATGATAACCTCTTACTTAGTTAAGATGCTTCCAATCATTCAGATACTTTGGAATAAACAAACCCCGTTAATGAGATTCCGTACTGACAAAAATGGGAATGAATACTAAAGCATGTTCCAAAAAACTACAGGAAGACCTCCATTTACTAAGCATCAAACACTGTGGCTATTGATACATGCATGCAATGTAAATATAATATGATGTACCTGATCCATTTTATTGACTGCTACTGTAAGTTGAGTTACACCAAGAGAGCGGACCAGCAGTGCATGCTCACGTGTCTGTCCACCAGCTTCAAAGCCTGCTTCAAATTCCCCACGGCTGGCATCTACAACCAAAACGGCCACGTCAGCCTAAAAGACAGGAAACAGTCTATACACAAAGAAACACTATGGACAGAGCAGCTGTATGTGTGATATTAGTAACCTATCCATACAAAAGATTCATTGGCACATGCAAACAAACTAAGAATAAAATGGTAAAACAACTCTTATTTTAAAATGAGTACTATTTGGAATAAGTGCAAGTGACAACTTGTAACAAAATCTACAAAAAAACTGCATTTTAAAGCAGAAATCTAGCTAAAGCTTTTTTGCTTTTAGTTTTGAAATGAGTAGGGAACAAGGAAAACCTCTGCCAGGTTTAAAAAACAAATTGGTTACCCTGTTAAAATAATAAATAATTAATAAATCTAGACTACATCACAAATGATTTCCTAGAAACAGACAGAACAGTGTACACAAGAGGATCTGCACTTACTTGAGCAGCACCTGTAATCATATTTGGGATGAAATCCTTGTGCCCCGGAGCATCCATTAAAGTAATAACTTTGGACTTTGTTTCAAATTTGGTCATGCCTACATCCATAGTCACTCCTCTACAATAGCAAGAAATTCAGTTGGGTTCAGCACACCAAACAATAGTAAAAAGATCAAATTAAATGTAAGGCTATATACACTAAATGTATACACTGATTGGCTGTAGTCACTGTTTGGGCGAGACTTTTTCGACCAGGGATTAAAAAAAAATCAACTTTAGTCGAAAGAAGGGGTGCCAACTGGGCCACACAGTGTTCGATTTGCAGCTCATTCAGCAGGACAGAATTCAACCAGTGTATGCCAGTGCTTAAATTGAAGTTCCACTTTTGCAACCAAATTAGGTTAACATCTACTTTACAATTGTTACATGTTCCCATTCACACAGCATAAAAATTATAAAACTGCTGCTTACATTTTCAGTGCTGTATACTCCCTACAGTGTATTTCCACTTTCAGAGCCAAATTGGGATAACACTTATTTTATATTGGTTACATGTTCCCATTCATATAGCATAAGTTTAAAAAATGCTTCTTGCAGTTTGAATTCTTTTTACTTGGGTTAAGGTTTCTTGGTTCCTTAAAGTGACATTAAACCCTCAGATTTTTTAACATAAAACAATAGTGTAATGTGTGCCTTACTGTAATCCATGGTTGTTTCCCTTCTCTTTGCTGCTCTTCCTTTTAAATCCGTATCTGTTCTCATGTTGGGCAGAACTTCTGTTTCGCAGCAGACTGCCTTGTCTCTGAAATGGATACATGGTGTCTGTGTGCAGGTTCACAACCTGAGCCAGCACTACAGGAAGAGGCGCTCAGCTGCAAAGGGAAGTTCTCCCCCAGCATGAGAAGACATGAGGATTTAAAAGGAAGAGCAGCAAAGAGAACGGAAACAGCCATGGATTACAGTAAGGCGCACATTACAGTATTGGTTTATGTTAAAAAAACTGAGGGTTTAATGTCACGTTAAAAAGAGATCTATGTGGTAAGTGTTTTTCCCCATAGTTCTCTTTAGGGTCACAGGAGGACATATACTAACCTCCTCCTGTAACCGAAAGCTCAGTATATAGCGGGCTATTGCCCATGTTATACTGAGAGCGCAGCAGTCGGGACAGATCCCGAAAATACTGTCTGGATCCACCCAGCTGCGTGAGTGACAGCTGGCTCTGCCTATCTAGAGGTAGAGCCAGCTGTGCCCGCACCTCCCCCATTTGTTCCTCCAGTCAGAGCTGGAGCATTGGAGAGGGGAATCCCTACGGGCGGCGGTGACTGACACCGCTCACTGCAGGGAGACTATCGGGAAGTGAGAGGATCGGTGCATGTTTCTGCTCACTTTCCGATCGATTGAGCCGACCTGTGACAGCTTCTTTGTCACAGGTCGGCTCTAACTATAAGAATGAGTGGAAATTACTCACCTCATAGATCTCCTTTAAGGGCTAATATTTCTACTTGCTTGTCTTTTTTTGTAATGTTAGGAGGGGTTGTGAGGGGTTTGTTCCTTATAATTTGTAAAGTAGATTATTGTGAGGGTATCCCCACCGCAAGGCTTAATAAATGTTTTGCCCAGAGTTCTTCTGTAACACCTTCATGAATGAGCTATGATCGTTTCTAGACGATCAAAACTGATACATTTCAGGCAAAGAGATACATTTGTATCTTCTGCTTGAAATGTATCATTTAACATCAGGCCAGGCTATACAGCTGTCAAAACGAATAGCAGAGATGTGAGTCACTGCTACCTCTCTGCTATCTTCAGCTGTCAGATACGGGTTCGTTGTTTAGCGAACCCGTATCTGAATGTAAAGGCTTCATTCTTTCATTAATGAAAGAAAGAAGCTTTTACAAAAGCTTAACTATTTCATTAATGAATGCCTCAATACTGAGGCATTCATTAATGTCTGGTAACTGCTGAGAATCAGTAGTTACCAGCATTATGGAGGCTGATATAACTCGGCGCGTACAGTGTACGTGGCCAGTCATATAGCCACTTTGTGACGGGACGTACACTGTATGTCTCCCGTCACGAAGGGGTTAAGGAGGAGGTTGTGCAAAGCTATTTTATCTACGTAGTTTATCTAATTAACTGTGCTGTTCATTATCAGTTGCAAATGAAATTTGAACACTGTGCTAACAAAGGGTTAAAGCCTTCAAATCATTGTGTGTTATTGAGCTGAAGCTCAATCTGACCCTCGGTTTGACCATATGGTTTCACTCTCAAACTGCTCAGAGTAGCTTGAAATCTGCACAAAGGCCTTCACCAAAGAGACCTCCAAAAGGTCTTGTTTAATGTATGTTGTGTGAATGAGAACACAAACATATAGTGGTATTTTCCCAAATTTGACTGCAAAACTGGAACTATGCTTTAAGTTGTCTAGAAGCTATTTATATTTGGGGCATAGCCTCTAACCCCAATCAACACAAACATAAATATTCAAATGTCTTCCCACAAACTGCTCTGGTGAGTGACCCCACTGGACAGAATGACCTATGATTCCAGATATTCTTACATAACCAGCTATTTATGATAAGCCAGTAATCTCCGATAAATTACCTTTGCCTCTCTTCTCCTGTTTCATCCAGTACCCAAGCATATGCAAAAGAAGCTTTGCCTGCTTTCTTGGACTCTTGCTCATATTTGTGCATGGTTCGTTTGTTCACATGTCCCAAGAGGTATAGTAGATGACCCATTAGTGTGCTTTTTCCAGCATCGACATGGCCTGGTTACAAAAAAAAAGGTAAAAAACAAAAAAAAGTTTTCCCTCTGCAGTAGAAGCCAACAAGTACACACCAATCTACCAAATCTCTTAATTTCCCTATTAGGATTACTTTTCTCTTTTTTGCTCTTTAGATGGATTTTTTTCCATGGAGTTGTTTTGGGCATACATAGCATGCCTAATGTCCGCAATTGGTAAAAGGAAATTGATCATGGCAAAAACACTGAAGCTTGCCACTGCTCCTTCTGAAAGCGCTAGCTGCCTACTTTTCCTGCACATGCTTGCTTCCACTATCAATAATAATTATAGATCTAGAACCAAGAATGCTTACCGTATTTTTCGTTCCATAAGACGCCCTTTTTCCCCCCAAAAGGCGGGGGAAAATGTGTGTGCGTCTTATGGAGCGAATCCCTAGACTTTTGTACATTTAGCCCTGCTAAAGCAGAGCTAAACATACAGTGGTAGCCGCTGCTCGTGTAGTACAAGTGATCTATTCAGATCACTTGTATTAAAACCGGGTGGTTTTAATACATGTACCGGTGCGCCTTATGGAGCGCAAAATACGGTATATGGTGTTCTAATTTCTCTGACTTTGCTAATCTGCATACTTGTTCTGAATCAGTAACTAAAACTATTAAAACCAGAAAAAAAAACAGGCAAACAGTATTTTCATCAAAGGCAGCTCCCTTTTTCTCTAATAAAAGGCTTACTGTAACCACTTCAGGACCGCAATACCTATATAAACGGCATTGTCCTGAAGTTGTTACACAAAGATCACAGCTGATGCAGATGCCAGATGATCTTGGTAGTGTTCTTTTCAGCCGACTTTCGGCTTTCACATACAAGTGATCGCCTGTATACTGCTAGAAAATGTCTCCTATGTGACAGCGAAAAAGTTCAGTGTTAAAAAAAAATTTAAAAAAATGTTTAAGTTTATATAAAACAAATACAAAATGTAAAGCCCCCACATACAAACGCAAAAGTTGGGTGTGCCTATGTGCAAAAACGACCATAGCATTGCGTTACATATAGCTGTGAACATCGAAGAGAAATAATTTTAGTGCCATCACTCATGGTTATCTTTAAATTGACGAGTGCTAAAGGCTTTTAAAATGTTGCCTATGAGCAATTTTGGGTACTGTAGGGGTTTTTGTTTCTGTCATGTCATGGGTGCGTGCAATATTTAGGCTCATCATGTTTGGCATCTATTTTACAAAACAGAACCCCATCTTTTATATTTTACTGGGTTTTATATTCTGTTAGTGTGCACTAAAATTAATTTTACTGTACTTTGTTCTAGAAAAAAAATATTGTTTTGATCAAATTCTATGTACATATTGTACACCATACAAAAAATTGCAACTAGCATTTGTTTTTTATTCAACTGGACCACTGCTTTCAGAAAATATATAATTGCTTTTTAAGCTGGTTTTAAGCAGTTTTCTAGCCAGAAATTCACATTTTAACATGTGCACAAAAATGTTTTACAAATTTGCTCCAGTTTAAGAATACCTGGGACACACGTGATCAAGACAAACTAAGCATATGATGACAAAATTCTACCTAGAAATCGTGATCTTCAGTGGAAAGAGCATGCCAAACCATCAGCTGATACAGACATAAAGACAGCTAAATGATATGCTAATGTTATGGAGGCTTGGGAGGCAACATATACATGATGAATATGAATAATGAATATGGGTGCTTGGAAGACAACAAAAGCAGGGTTTTTGCACTTACTGTAAATGCAGTTTCTTGGAGTTCATTAGCGACACAGGATTCAGTTATTCAGAGACAATCTCAATACACTATAAACTGTGAAATTGACACAAAGGGATACACAATTTTGTGTCATACACAACACCTGTGTTGCACAATATATATAGATTTGGTTCTGATATATATAGAACCAAATCCTCTCCTTTGTTTTTTATTTAAAAACAAAGGAGAGGATTTGGTTCTATATATATCAGCAAAGCGCTAATTGTTCATCTGAAATATGGTGAGCAATAGGAGTCGGTGAGTGCGGCCAGATCTTATCTTTGAGCACGGTGGAGACTGGAGAGCACTGATTCACTAATTGTTTTTGCATTCACGGACGTTGGTGTTGATTATAAAAGCAGGAAGATATATCCTCACATACAAGGACTTTATTGTATCCAGAAGTAATGGACTTCACACATGGTTATGTAGATTAGGTGGGAGTTATACATCACTAGTGAGATTCAACACAGGATTTTCTATATGTACACATTTTATGAGATGTACTAGCATGTGTTTTTGGTTTTTTTTCCCATCAGCACAGGCATTGTGCAACACAGGTGTTGTGTATGACACAAAATTGTGTATCCCTTTGTGTCAATTTCACAGTTTATACAATTTTTTTCACATTTTAGGAATATCATTTTTGAGTTTGAAGCGCAGTGCTTTTTTCTTTTTTCCTATTTTTGGGTGTATTCACCTATTAAGCACAGCTGCTCTTAGAGTGTTATTTGATTCCTAGCACAGTTTCTTTCTATCTAACAATTTCAATATACTGCCTGTGACAGAACGGCAGGTCCGATCGCACTGTACTGCCACCAATATATGACGATACATGGTTCCGATCCTACGGTGCTGCCACCAATAAATGACAAAACCACTCTCAGCCTCACCCTGCTCAGAGATTTTGCAGATCGAGGGACAACAATCTAAGGCCAGCAGACTAAGAGCAATGGTCACCATGGTGGTTTAACTCCGCAGTCAACTCACTACAAATGCCTATAATGCCCTCTGTCCATCCAGACAGTAATATAACAGGTTTTACAATATGATATAACTCTTCAAAGAGACAAGGATTCTTTTAAGTTCTCATTTAGAGCATAGAGATAAGCTTGACGATTTTAAAAGATTGTTTTTAAAAAAGGAAAAGGTGCAAAAAAAAATATATAAAAAAAGAAAAAGATGTTACAATAAAGGGACACATAATACAACAGTAAAACAAAATCGCAGTAAGAATGAAATTACTTAGCAAAGTCCTAGGTGTATAATAACTTGCGGCCCAGCTTCCTGATTGGTTAGAAAGCTGGCCAATCAGGAAGCCGGGCGGTGAGTCATTACCCACCCCTCGGCATCAAGATTCCTCGTTACCTGGTGTCAAGTCCCTGAGGAGAGACACTGCAGGCCACCCTGGAACTGTTAGCAGATTGTGGGGCAGGACTGCTCCCCTTGTGCTTGGGATCCAACATGTCATACTGATTAAGAGAGACAACTCAATTGAGAACACCAGGTAAAAACCATTTGGTACTCACGAACCAGCTGCTGCAAGCAGGACATGTTCACTTGCGTGGAGTGGACCAGGTTACTGTAGAAAGCAGCAAAGACCAACCAAGGTAAAATCGTGTCTCTGTTGCAAAAGTGTGCAATGGCAGTAGGCAGCTACCCCACATTAAAAAAGCGCAACCTTCCAGTTAGTGACATAGTACTTTCTATGGAGAGGCTGTGCCACAAATTAGGACCTAGAAAAGTATGGCCTCCCAAGCTATCCATAACTAAGGAAGTGTCCATCCAGATAGATGCAGCCAGGCTCAGAAAAAAGAGAAAATGACTGGTAAAAATGATAAAACTTTACTCAGAAGAGCAGTCCATCCTACTAGACCATTAGCAAAAAGCATAAAAGGACTGGGAGGATTTATGCTTGGCTGTCCAATGGCTTTTTCATCTGCCAGTAGAAATTCCTCCTGAAGGCAGTATAATCCAATTGTCTCTGAATAACCGAATCCTGTGTCCCTTAATGGACAAGAAAGAGACAATGTTTTTTCAATAGAACTAACCCAGGACAGCAAGTTGTAGAAGAATGAAAGAACAATGCTTACACATTACCTATTACAACAAGGTTTAGTAGCTGTTTTCCTCCTTGTCTCTTTTCTAGCTCTTCTTTAACATTAATTTTCTGTTTGGATTTTCCAGAACTTTTTACTTGGGATGTAGTGGCATTACGTTCATCAGAGACCTGTGATGTGTTCATTTGTGTGGATGATTGAACAGTGCTTTCAGGTTCCTCCATGATGTCATCCACAGGCTGGCTTTTTGCAGACAAAGGAACACTTTGCCCATTCACATGAGATGCAGCACTATAACATGTAAAAGAAAAAAAAAAATTAAACAAAAAAAGCATGTAGCTAAATATAAACAAAAACGTCAGATGAGCAAAACTTGCTGTTAGTTGGAATCTGCTGAGTAAAAGATAAATGTATGCCTACACTTTGGCTGTGTCTGTAAATTTTTTTCAATTAGCCGCCATCCTATTTTTACATTTTAACAGCACATGCAATTCACAACTCTACCCTGATCATTTAATTCCTCCAAATTGTGAAAAAACACATTTAATTTGTTTTAGAAATACTGCAGGCAGACTGTCAGGTGTAGTAAAGTTAAGGAAAGATTATTGGAGTTGAAGAACAGGTTAGAAAACAACAGAAAAGCCTGCTACATAATTTCATTTAGTTGCACTAATTATTTTAATTTAAAGTCAATTTTTTTTATTTTTTTTGTCCCAGTTAGGGAGCTTTACCCTCTGTATTTGTCCTGGTGACCGCCATCACTGTACGTGAAGGAAATGTTGGGTTGTCATCAGAACAGGAATAGATAGGAAATCTTCCAATGGGCAAACTAGTTCTGGTGACCCCGATGACTACCAGGAATTCCCCTTACTTTGGGAGCATTTCCTCTGACTTCACTGTTGTGGTTATCGGACAGGAAGTGATGGGAAATCTCCCCAATGGGACACATGGCAAAAAAGCAGACAGGCATTATAACCTTTCCTTACTGTATCTAAAACTAAAAAAATTGCCTTATGTTTTAGTGGGAGATCCATTTCAGAAGTTCAGTCACCTCTTTTGTGGCCTTTGACAGAAGGATCATTGTACCCATGTTCCCAGGTATAAACTACCAAGGTCCAAATGTAGTAAAATGAAGACTCCATGATTCCACTATGTTAAATATTTTACAACTTATTCACAACATATTGTCACTACTGCCAAAAGTAACTTCAAAAAAGTAAGACTGTATTTAGGTTAAAGTAATCTAACATTAGATTAAAAAATAAGCATCTGTAAAGGAATGTGCCGAGTTTTTCTGGTATGTTTATTTCAACAAATTATAGGAAGTGAAAATGGCAAGGAAAATGGTTAGGTTTACAAGTGTATCTAGGGGGACAGGGGAATCGCCCAGGTGGGCCCAAAGTATATATAGGGCAAAAATGCATTAAAAAGCATCTTAGGGGGACCCTGCCTAGGTTCTGAGCATATAGCACAAAAATGCATTAAAAAGCATGTAGGGGTTCTCTCCCTTAGCGTCTCCTAGCAACTAGGAGGAAGAGCTGTATGAGTTTTGTATGTGTAAAGCCTGCTAGGAGACCGTGGAAATCAAGTGGTTGGGGTACATGGTACTAGCTGAAGGGTGAGACCAGCAGTGTGTGTGGGAAGAAGAGGGCTTGGCATGTAATTATTAGCTCTCCAGGAAATCGAATACATATCCTGACCCACCCACCTCCCGGGTATCAGAGGAAGTCGCCAGCACGCTATGCTGAGGAAGCCTGTACTTACCTGTGAATAGAGTTCTGCTAACGGAAAAGAAACAGCAGGAAGTTTTAAGCACATGTAAGATGCTTGGGGGTTTTAGGAACAAAACTGGTATATAGAGTGAAAGTGATTGAGGATTATTGCAGCACTTTGTACCCACACTCGCGTTTCACAAAGCGTTTTGTGTGCTGTGCCCACTTTTTGCCACTTGGATCGCTATGCCCAATTCTAGCTAAGACACAATTTTCAGTGGGCCCTTATCCCTTCCCCCTGTGACCACAAAGTCCCAGTCAGACCCTGGGCACGCACCATTTTCCTGCAATGGTAGCCTCTAGTTAGATGCAGTTGTTTTAGTGTCCATTCACACTTGTGCACACAGACACATGCTGTATTAGGGATCCCCATTGATTTTCAAGGGACCCTTAACGAGGCTACTATAAACCAAAACACGCACCTCATTTATTTATTCCAGTCCAGCACTAGACAACATATGTGTTATGCTGAAATTCAGGTGTGTTTGGGTATGTGTGTGGGCTGCTATTGAAAACAAATGACAATGCACCACACAGATCATATTTCAGGCTTTGTTGTGCCACGTGTTAACATGGGTACAAGTGTAAATGTGGCCTTTAGTTCAGACTTCTAAGGAGTTAGACTTTGACTACAGAAAGCTGCAAGCCTGAGAGGCCTCAAGGGCGCTCAGCAAAAGTTACATTGTACACAGTTATGTGTAATGCTTTTAAATATAAAGTATCAGGCTACACACTTTATCCTGAAGACAGGTCTATTAAGCTGTGGAGAATATTTACAGAAATAATTGAACAGGTTTAGGAAACTTGTTAAAACTACAAACATGCTTGAAAATAACTTAGTAAGTGTGAAAGAGTTTTTAAAAAAAAATGTAAAAAGATATTTCATTCTTAAAAAAATAAAATTGGGAATTAATGTGCGAAAATAAAAGGCTACACGAAGCTACAGAATTCCACACAAAAGTTTTACAAATCTTCATAAACTGGGCTTTAACAAAGTAAAAAGATAAGAGTAAAAGAGATAAAGAGACTGCAAACTGCATTGAGAAATTGCTGAGGCTTTAACGGCCACTCAACCGTGAAAAATGCAAAACCCCAAATGTTTGAAGCAACGGACACAGATATTAGTCATCTTTCACTTACTACCTACAATGTATATCGGAAGAAGATACGGGTTCATTCTCAATAGCTGTGTTTAAAACAAGTTTGACTCAATTCTCTCCACCTGCTCAAACATGGTACACAGGCCTATCATTCATCAGCAGTTATTCGCATATCCTGTTCCAGATGATAACTAAAACATTATGCTGTTGAAATAAATATAATTTAGGGAGATTTATAGTGAAATCTATGACAAATAGCTAATCAATACAATTTTATCAACTGTATCACTTGCATTAGCTTTACCATAAATTGTGAGATTGTGTTTAGGAGCTTTACCAGATCTTCATTATACACAAGACAGCTTAAAAAACTTGAGCCAGGTACATTTTCTTGGTGTATAGAGCGCAATGTGATGAATGACAAGCTGAAGAACCTAGATGAGGCTTTCTACTCTTTAGAACGGAAGGTGCTCCAACAGATATTAAGGCTGATTTACTGAAGGAGTTGAAAATCTTCATTAACTACCTCAGGGCCGGCCGTTGTGAAAAAACGGCCAGCCGAGAGGTCTCTAGATCTGAGCGGGCATCTTTAGACATCTGCTCAGCCACGCCCACCAGCTCATACAAGACCGCTTGTATGAGCTGCCGGCCCGTGTCCCCCCTCCCTACGTGCCCCCCCTCCCGCTGTCACGCCGATCCCGTGCTCCGCTGTGCCCGGCGCGAGCCCGGGACTAGCATACGGCCTCTATCAGTACCTGAGCTCCCTCTGGTCCCCTCTCCGCTGCCAGAATGCGGAAGTGATTTACATTACATCACTTCCGCATTCTTGTGTCACTCTCCAGCTTGGAGAGAAGCTGATGAAGCTTCATCAGCTTCTTCAGGGGGGTCCCAGGTGATATTAGGGGTCTTGGAGACCCCTGATGTCCCCATAAAGAGGACCAGCCACATATTTTGCTATCACATAGAGGGGTTTCTTAGCCTCCTATGTGATAGCAATAAAGTTAAGTGAAAAAAAAAAAACAAATAGGAAAAAAAATTAAAGTTTCCAAAATAAAATTTAAGTCACACATAAAAGAGAATTACAATTTTTTTTTTTTAAAAGCCCCCACCCGTACACGCATGCAAACATGCGTCAGGTGCGCATACCTGCGAAAACGATGATTTCGCCTATTACGCCGCACATGTTACATGTCGCAGTGAGAGCAATAATTTTAGGGCCATCAATCACTGATAACACTAGACTGATGAGCGGTAAAAGCTTTTAAAGCATCGCAATTGCGGGTGCACGCAATTTTTAAGCATGACATGTTTGATGGCTAATTAACTCCTTCGCTGCCAAGCCCTCCGGACCATTTTTCAAATCAGCTGGCCAAGCCATTTTTGAATTTTCTGCAATTTTTTCCTATTGATTTGATTTTCAACTGCTGCGTTATAGTACTATGTGTCCCCAGTTATTTACAAACACCGGAGTGATCAGACGATCACTCCGGTGTTTGCTCTGCACAGAGGGATCGTTAAATATCATTGATATTTAACGATCCCCCGCTCGGCCACGCTACAGAGCTGCTGTCATCCAAAAACTGACAGGATAGATCAGCCCAATTATTAGTAAATATCGTAGACCATATGCAATGTGTGATTCATTAAACCTTGCCAAGTCCAAAGTTATAAAATGGATTTCATCAAAACTTTAATATAATACAACCCTATATGTAATAGACGTTTTTACGAACACATTTTCTGGAGAAAAACCTTCATTTTTTAATCAGTACTGTCCCTAAACACCTTTTACTTCCCATGTCAGCACTGCACTGGCTTCAATATATCCATCACTTACTACAGGACTTCATCTGGTGCCTCATATATCTAAAGCCCACAGCACTAACATTTAATACACACATTGTGTCATTACTGCAAGTAATACTACTTTCCGATCAGTAAAATTCACCCCTGATTGGAACTTCTAATTGCAGGGCAGCACTGGTGGAGGTAGCAATAGAGGGGCTATATCAGTGCAGTGATTGAGTGCAGTAAACATATGAAACACGCTCTCGAGCATACCAGCTACTGGCATACTAATACTAGAAGCACTTTCCACTCCTTCAGGTTTTTGTTTTCCTGATAGTCATGCACTATCACAATTACTTCAGCCCTGGTGAACACAACAGGAAAAAACAGTTATCACTCTCATGAACACTCCAAGATTTTTTTGTTTAACTGTCCTAAAGATGCCCATCATCATTCACGTAAGTAAAATTGTCTTTGGAAGATTCCAAAGTGTAACACAATGCAAAATGGCACTTGCAATGATTAGCTTGACCACATGGTTCTTCCTTAGATAAATATTAAAATCCAAAGACTGGAGAGCCCACAATTACCAATTTTTAAACTGATTAATGAAGTTTGCTAAAAAAAAAAAGTAAAGAAAGTGTTTAACCACACATTCCCTTTCATCAAGCATCTATCACCTTTAATAGAAAATAGTAACAAGGACTGGCACCTTTTACCTTTAATAAGCCATCTGCCCATCATACTACCAAGTTCTGTCAGTATCATTTATGATACTGTAATTTATATATCAGATTTATCATAAAATATTAAGGCACAACATACCTTGGTATATAAAATCCCATTGTTTGCTTCTTTCCAGAGACAGTCATCTTGGCAATTTTAGGAACAATTTCATTCTGTGCCTCCATAGAAGGCAATTCTCTTGGTCTGCCTAAAAAAAGTGAAAAATCCTTAGTGATAAGTCAATATGGCAAACACCTAAAAACCATTCCTTTCACATTAGCTTTACACCCACATAAACAATTTGCAGCCATGTAAACAAAAGATCCCATTGTAAGATAATAAAAATATAAAATTATACACTGCTCAAAAAAATTAAAGGAACACTTTTTAGTCAGAGTATAGCATCAAGTCAATGAAACTCCTGGGATATTGATCAGGTTGCTAATCAGTTTTAGCTGCTTTGGTGTTCATGAAATTAACAACAGGTGCACTAGATGGGCAACAATGCGACAACTTCAAAAACAGGAATGGTTTTAGGGCCTGTTCACACGCTGTCCGTTTTGTGTGCTGACCGGCTCCGTACGCTGCTGCACTCAAAATGCATCCCAATGTATCCCTATGTGTTTTATGGGCTCCAGTTCTCACGTGCGCAGTCCGTTCAGCTTACGAAAAAATACTGCATGTCACATTTTGTCAGGTCCGGAAACGGTCAGGATACGCAAACGCGTCAAAAACTAGTTGTGCATTTGGCTAGAGTCAGTGTCACTACTGGTCGTATGAGGCGATACCTGGACTCTACAGAGGTTGCACAGGCATGCCAACTCCTCCAGGATGGAACATCAATACGTGCCATTGCCAGAAGGTTTGCTGCGTCTCCCAGCACAGTCTAAGAGCATGGAGGAGATTCCATGACACAGGAAGTTACTCTAGAAGAGCTGGACAGGGCCGTAGAAGGTCCTTAACCCATCAGCAGGACTGGTATCTGCTCCTTTGTGCAAGGAGGAACAGAATGAGCACTGCCAGAGCCATACAAAATAACCTCCAGTACGCCACTGGTGTGAATGTCTCTGACAAAACATATGTCTCTGACAAAACAATCAGAAACAGACTTCATGAGGATGGCCAGACGTCCTCTAGTGGGCCCTGTGCTCACTGCCCGGCACCGTGGAGGTCGATTGGCATTTGTCATTGAACACCAGAATTGGCAGGTCCGCACTGGCGCCCTATGCTTTTCACAGATGAGAGCAGGTTCACCCTGAGCACGTGACAGACGTGAAAGGGTCTGGAGAAGCGGTGGAGAACGTTATGCTGCCTGTAATATCATTCAGCATGACCGGTTTGGTGGTGGGTCAGTGATGGTCAGGGGAGGCATTACCATGGAGGGACTCACAGACCTCTACAGGCTAGACAATGGCACCCTGACTGCCATTAGGTATCGGGATTAAATCCTTGAACCCACTGTCAGACCCTACGTTGGTACAGTGGGTCCTGGGTTCCTCCTGGTGCATGACAATGCCTGGCCTCATGTGGCGGGAGTATGTTCCTTGAGGATGAAGGAATTGATACCATTGAATGGCCTCCATGCTCGCCTGACCTGAATCCAATAGAACACCTCGAGGACATTATGTCTCGGTCCATCTGACACTGCCAGGTTGCACCTCAGTCTGCTCAGGAGCTCAGTGATGCCCTGGTCTGGGAGGACATACCCCAGGACACCATCCGTCGTCTCATTAGGAGCATGCCCCGACGTTGTTACGCATCCATACAAGCACGTGAGGGCCAAACAAACTTTAATGAGTACCATTTTTAATTTCTGCAATGACATTTCAGTACAATGGACTAGCCTGCTGCATCATTTGTTCACTTTTTTATTTTATTTTTGGGGTGTCTTTAAATTCAGCCCTCTGTAGGTTGATAATTTTTCATTACCATCAAACAATGTGGCATCCTTTCGTTCCTAAAGCAAAACAAACGACAAACGCACTCAACAATTTGTTACCAGTTATACAGTAAGGTGCACACGAAATGGGCTTTGAACAGTAGAACAGTGGAAAGGTATCATGGCACACTCACAAACCAGCATGTAAAACAACTTGTCTCACCACTAAGGACAATGACAGAGGTGCCAAGGCACCTCTTATAGTGCGGTCCTAACTCTAAACTATGAGAGTCTCCATCTTGGAGCACATGGGGGCAGAAGATATCAAATTGGGTGCAGGCCTGTCAGGAGGACGCCCAACCTCCTTAAAGGTACAGAAACACACAAGGCATCCCGCACATCCCATTGGCAGCTGAGAAACCCCATGCGTCGCTGCACCAAATCGGTAAGTCATTGTCTGTCATCTGTCATTGTCCTTAGTGGTGAGACAAGTTGTTTTACATGCTGGTTTGTGAGTGTGCCATGATGCCTTTCTACGATCCTTTCGTTCCTAACACATTACACAGTCCAGTATACAGTAGATATCCAGTATGATATTTTTCCCCATTGAGATCTGATGTGTTTTCAAAGTGTTCCTTTAATTTTTTTTGAGCAGTTTATTTAAAGTCAGACTATCAGGAAGTTTAAACAGTTCAAATGATGGATAGCTGAATACAAATAAATAAGCACATCTCAATGTTTGTGCTTTAACCCAACAGCAGAACTCAGCCCTTTGAATCAGGAGTCAGGTGACATCTTTGCAAACTACCAGTGAAATACACCCCCCCCCCCCTCCCTTTT